ACAAAACAATGAATATTTACTTAAGCAGCAAAAAAGGCCATACTTGTAAAAGCCGATGCTGGCACGCTTCCTGCTGGCTCTCAATGGCCTCAAGCGTCCTGTAGCTCCTCCAGACACATTAACATGTTCAATGTTGGCATTCAATGAATCTCTTTTCTCATCAAGTTTATCACAATCCGGCAGAGCGGAGGAATCGCAACTGACTGGATCCTTAAGTTTATCAAAAGAATCAGTAACAATTTGATTATCCTTATCCGGACTATAGGAGCTTTTTGGCCGACCACGGCGCCGTTTTTCAGACATATTTGTATGACTGCTTAGTTGTACTGCATCGCAAAGTGTGCCCGTATCTTGTGGAGAAGTGCTCGAAGAACTGTTATCTTCAGCTGATTCAATAACTACTGGACCAGCAACGCACGTGCTCTTCTCTTTGTTTGCAGAACCTTCAGTTTTCTTTAACACTCCTGCGGGACGCCTTCTTCTCTTTTTCAGTGGAGACTTTTCAAACAAATGGTTTAATGGAGCAAACTTTTCCGTAAACGTTAGGGGGTCCTTGTATCGAAGCGTTTTTAAAGCTTCAAATAAAAATGTTATGCTTTCATCTTCAAGTTCTTTCCTTCTTTTATTACATTCGTCAATCATTTCCTGTGGAATGGAAAAATCAACGATTTTCTCAGTTATTTCATTCGGAAGAGTTGGAAATTCACTTGGTCGACGGGTAACTGCTTTAGCAGAGGAACTTTTTTTCTTACTCGTTAACAAAGGTGACTTTATCACATCGGTTTTCCCATTCATCGCTAATGGATGAGATACGGGATTCTTTGAGCTAGCTGCAGACATATTCTTATTTTCAGTAAATACAGATGGCAGTGAACGGCGTAACTTGATTTTCACAGGTTTAGTTTTCCTTTGCTTCGTGACCGCCGCAGTTTTCTTTTGTCTAACAGATGTATGTTCTTCAGCTTCCAAATCTGAAGAGGAAATAAGTGACAAGTCGTCCGAAAAGGTACATGGACGAAAAATTTCTGCATCGGATAATGAAAAGACTTCGTGCTCACAATAAACAATAGACAGAAAAAAATAAACTGTAAAACATTAACAGAAAGTGGCACAATAAATAAACAAAAAATAAATACGACAATAAAATGACAATTAAAACAGCTGTCTTTTTAATGTCAAGCAAAGCAATAAATAAAAATTAATGTTCAAAAGATAACTCACCTAAACTCCTGCCGCTAACCATCAGGGCATAATCTACATGCGTCCGACTACGCCGACTCTTTTCTTCCATTATCTATCTGTTCTGCTGTAAACCAAGAGTTCTATTGAAACCTATGAACGAACGGCACCCGAGTCCACCACCTAATCAAAACAGGCTATGCTCGGTCTCTGAGAAAATTCCTATACGCGATTACCGTCAACATGGCACGTAGCCAACACACCACCAATCGACGCTTCAAAAGTACCCGCCAACAATAGTAAATACGAAACTTTCAGAATGACTTCAGGAAACGTGGCTAACGTCGCAAAAACAAACTTTTTGGATCAGACGTGGCAGTTCTATCGTTTTCAGAAACTTTTAACAACTGTAGCAAATAAAAACGAAAGTGTTTCCGCAATTAACGACGTCAAGAACATAGCTGATGAAATGGCTAAAATCTTAGAGCTGAAGCACGTTCTAGCAATCATTTCCACAACAATAAAAGTTGACCTGTATCTTTAAAAATAGCTAAAATCCTTCTAACCCTGCGCTTATCTAGTATCATCTGTGACAAGACCTATGCACCCTTTAAAGATCCAAATGTCCAATAGGAACTTTAAAAATGAAACAACAGACACGAGATACCTTAATGTACAAAATGAAAAATAGGAAACTCAAATAAACAAAAATCAGCTTTTCCCTTCTTTCAACTTTATAAAGATAAAGAACATCCACCAACGCAAAGAAGAAGTAGGTATCGCGGCAACCATTTCTAAACCAATAAAATGTTTAATTTTACAAAACCAAAAGGTTCAAATATTAGGAGACAGCAACAGCATTACGGGCATTTTATGAACGACCTGACCCCAACCAAGTTCCATTATAAGCAATAAGTGGATAAAGAATGGGAAATATACCAAGTTTCACGCCAAGAAATAGCGGGATAATTCTAGTAAACTTCTTTCGCCACGGCTAAAACGCCAAAAACAAAATAGTGCTCCTCGCATCAGCTTAAACTTTTACAACTTTCAAATTAATTGTTTATAACAACCAAAAATCGCTTTCCTCAAGAGCGACTTTACTTGATCAAGCTTCTTTTTACTCCCGACTAGCAATTGTTACTTTCAAACAAAACTTTCCGTTATTTCTCCACGCCAAATAATGATAATATTGAAAAAATTCATCTTTTTTAGATGAGAGAAGCTGTAGGAACCGTTGAAGGTACCAGGGCAACTATAACTCAACGATCAATCTCTCCAAAGACAAGATCCAATGTACCAATAATGGCAACGACGTCAGCAATCAGAGACATATATGCGATGTCATGTATTCCGGAAAGATGAGCAAATCTGAAAAGATCCCAATATATTAATATTTAAAAAGAAATCACACGGATAACCTCAACTTTTAAACTAGTGAGAGGACTATTAAGTCAAAGAGACATTGAACTGCGTAAACACACCCTGGTGAACGGATGTAGCATCTGTACGGTTTTGAGGTTCCATCTGATACCAAATAAACTCCCAATTCTCCTTTGGGAGCTTCAAAAGGTAAATAAACGATGCCTGGTGGCACTTGGAATCCTTGTGCAAAAAACTTAAAGTGATGGATCAGAGATTCCATGTCGTTCTGGAGAAAGAGAAGAAAATAAAAAACACCGGAGCATTTTAAGGAAATTTGACTCTTCAACCGAAACATAAAGTTTATTGTTCCCGATCTATTACTATCATGCCATCAATTATAAAGTAGACTACTATTATGAGTCTGATGTTAGTTGTATTTTCTAACGAATTGAAAAAAAACTGCACACAGATTTTGGAAATGTGCAAAATAAATACTTAATTCAGGACTGAGAAATACAAAAAACTTTACGGTAATTCACAGAATGGGTATAAAAAACAAAGTAAATGACCTTCATTGCATAACGTCGAGGTGGAACTATCTTACAGTCGTCCAGCTTCACATCGCCTGGCGGCATCTTATTCAGGCACTGATGTATGATCCGTAAACTTTGGCGCATCTCCTCAAGTCGACAAAGGTACATAAAAAGATGATGAATCATAAATATATGTAAAGAACTCAGTCAAAAAAGCCTAAAAGGATGCAAAAATAGAAAACGTCTAAGTACTGCGAAAACACTAATTATATACGTACCTGTCATAACAGTCACCTTTAGTTCCAATCGGTACGTCAAAATCGACTTCTTCATAAGCATCATAAGGTTGTGATTTCCTAATATCCCACTTCACGCCAGAGCCTCGTAACATTACTCCCGTAAAGCCCCAATTTAAAGCATCTTCAGCGCTTACGATGCCAATATCTATTGTGCGTGCCTACATAGTTGCATACTAATGGCAGAACATTAGTGAAACTTATGTATAAACGGGGAGTAAAGCAGTAATAGCGTCTGAATAACAGTGAGAAAGCAGATTAGCCGAGAAATTCAACTGTTAGCTGAAAAGATGTAACTAATGCAATGTACCTTCCAAATGCGATTTTCCGTAAGCACATCCTCTAATTCGTCGATCCGCTGTGGGATTTTGCAAATGAAGTCGTACAGGTCATCCATCCAGCCCAACGGGATATCCCAGGCAACGCCACCTGGCCTAATATAATTAGAGTGCATTCTTGCACCAGAGACTCTTTCACTAAATAAGAGCAAGAAAGTAAAATTGGCTGGAACAGGTCGAAAGAATAAAACAATTTCCTAATAAAGTGACGCCCTGAAAACACACAACACCAAGATTACTAAAATGCTTCTGAGTCAAACTTATTAATAACCGCAAAACACTTTAAAATAATCACCTGAACTCAAAGATTTTCTCACGCTCTTCAAACAACCAAAAAAGAGGTGTCATTGCACCCACATCAAGCGCATGGGTCGTAATACCCATAATATGATTAGCCAAACGTGTCAATTCATACATAAGAGCTAAATTGAAAGAATTAAAACGAAGTTTCTAAAAAAGAATTCTCCTCTCAGCATACAGTCACTGTATATCAGTTTAGATCAAACCAATTTAAAGCCCCTTCTTTTCAGATAATAAAATGTACTTCTTATATACTTTGCACGAAGAGGTACATCAATTCCCAGTAACTTTTCTACGGCTAGCGAATAAGCGCCTTCATTGCACATCATCGAGACATAATCCAAGCGATCAAAATAAGGTGCAGCTTGTGAGTAAGTTTTATGCTCGATTAGCTTTTCTGTCCCTCTGTGAAGAAGACCGATATGAGGCATTGCTTTAATTACCACCTATAAAAATTCTAAAGCAGACTGCCGAAATGAATCTGGTAAAATTTAAGATGGATAACGAAATCTGTTGTATATTACTTCACCCTCCAATTTCAGGACCAAACGAAGCACTCCATGAGCTGCAGGGTGTTGAGGACCAAAATTTAAAATCATGTTTTCCAATTGCTTCTCCCGAAACTTTCCATGGTAACCAGGAGAAAGAGCTGGAGACTCTTGTAACATTTTCTCTAGTTTAGTATTTCCTAATGCATCCGAAAGACGTTTGCTGCCTATTTTTGGATACCAGAACGCTCCAAACATCCCACTTGTCTGAAAAAAACGGGTAAATCACTAAAAAATCAGTAACCTGAAGAAAACTTTTTAAAAACTGTTTTTTAAAACTTTCACCAAACAAACGGTGACAGTAATCTCCCATCGCTTATAACGTGGTATATAAAATTAATTCACGGTTCTTTTTGAAGAGTAACGAAAAATAAGCAAATAAACTTTAAACTACCACCCAACTGTAGAAGTTAAACATGAATCTTCAGTACCATTCTACCTTTATCTGTCGCTGAAACTCAGCATCCGGATACCAGATAGTGTGAGTGCACCGGAGACAGCGCAGAACTACAGATGATCTCCCCAGTCTTGGTAAACATGAATGAACAGTGCATTGCGACAACTGGTTCCACATTTCCAGCTGATACTCGCCTGAAATGGCAGAAAAAAATATTCCTTCTGAAATCTTCTAGACGGTATGGAATTTCATTCATAGTAGGCATGTTTGTTGATACTTCCAACAACTAAAGCGACCTTACAGTAAAAATATTACCTCAAAAATTTCTCTCAAATTGAATTTAAACTTCTTGCTTATATTTTGAAATAACACTTTCTCAAATCACTTTCTTATGTACCGTAGACGAAATTAACTGATCAGTACTGGCAGTAATGACTCTCTAGTAAGCCTAAAGTCTTCAAAGCTGCTGGTAACCGTTCTCTGACTAAAACAAATACAATTCATAGTGCTAAACGTACGCTTCGCCATATACCATTTTAAAGTTTCCCGTAAGTATAAATAATTTTGTCAAAGATTTGATAATGCCTTTTTACTCATAAGTAAAACAAAATTTGTTCTCACACAACTGCTGTAAAAAGATGTGAAAAGCGAGTAAGATTTGCTGAGGAAGTTCTAAAATCTAAGACTGCTACAAAATTTATAGTTTTCATACGTATTGAACGGAAATTCAAATCTCGTTCTTAACTAAGTCAAAAACAGAATTAGAATTCTATCCGCCCAACTCTGTTTAACAGCCGTCATGGAACTCTGCTAATTAAAGCGGTTTGAGACAATACTCGGAAAATCATTTTTCTAAACCACTGACAAAAAAATTTCCTCTTTAAGCATACATATAGCTCACCAAAATTTTGACTCGTAACAGAAGAAATCACTTCAAATAACTCCAACCTTTTTTTTTTGGCCTTCAGTGAACTTGAGGCATGCGGCAAATGAAACAGACTATAATCCGCCATAAATTCTAGAAGCAGTTGTTCAGTGAAGTACATTGTTTTCGAAGCGCCAATGCTCACAACTGTTTTTTACTTTGTAGTCCTGTAAATAAGCAGTAAACTTCGTTTCAAAATACTAAAACTTTTTCACAAGCGGGCAACTAGAAATCACTTGAAATCACCATCTTTTTTTGGTTGAATAAAGTCAGCCGTAATAATGCAGCAAAAACTCAAAATCTATTGAAGTAATTTTTTCAAGTATTTAAACTGATTTCTAAGCACCTTCTTCAAATATTTTTGCCATTAAAAGTGATATCAGATAATCGTCGCGAAAATCAACGAATTTTTGAGCATACTTCAAAAGTTTAATGTTTCTACAGTACAAAACAGTAAAAACTACTACTGTTCTCTTGTTTACCATAAAGAATGTGTAACTTTAAACCCATTCAGACGATAAATACAGAAAATTTCAGTTTGTCTTTGCTTTTTTAGAACAAGGAAGATTTTTAAAGCATTTATACAGTATCTGTTGATGGCATCTTCAGAGGGTCGGCTGGGAAGCGTTGAACACTTCAGACTTCATGCAGAAATAAATACAATAGAGAACGCAAAATATGGAGGAAAAAAAAGAAGGGCTACAGTACCAATCTTTGGTCAATAAAAATGAACCGATACAATGAATAAACGAACCGATACAATGAATAAACCATTAGTGTCGTTCAGTTAAATCCAAACACCATATTTCAATGTAGAAAGAAGCGAGCAAGCAGGAAATTAGTATCTGGGAGAGCATGCAACGGTTGCAACGAAGAAATGCAATTCAGCAGAGAAGAAGCATTGAAGTGAGGTGTTGTCGAGTGTTCACCGTCAACAACCAAGTTTTTTTCCACTAATCATAATTTCTTGATTCCTGCGCATGCCCCCTATAAACATTTTCTCCAACTTCACCCTGTACAACAGAAAGCCAAACATAAAAAGTGAACAGTGATTCTTGTATTCTAGCATTCTCAACAATTCGTCTGGAAAAACTGACAGCTCAATACGGCCGTTACTCCAGTAGCCGTAATTTGGACAAAAATGAGCTTGCAATGTCAGTTACCGCCGTTTAAGCAAAACACACTGCCTTCATGGTTACACCGTTTGTTCCTTTATACAAAGTCTTGAAAGCAATGGATTTGCAGCAGCTACTTGATTTTTAGACTACAAATTACGGCTTGATAGTGGTCTAGTAATGGAACGTAAATTTCAGATGTGGAACGACAAAAACAAAAAAAAAAAAAAAAAAAAATTGTGCAATTTCCCAAAATTTTTTAACCTCATTTTCCGATTTCATAAAAAAATAACGAGAACTACAAATGGTGCTCCTTTTCTCCCAGAGAAATACTGAAATACCATTAGATTCCATTAGGTTCATCCGAAGAGATATTTCTTGAATTCTGACAAGAATCTGCCAAAAATAATGCAAGTTGCTCATGAATTTTATGATGAAAACAAGCAAATTTTAACATATATATATTCAAAATACAGTATAACATTTCTGCGACATGTTTTATTCAGTGTTAAAGCAAACATCAATGTTGTATACTATATGCTTCTATCCCATAACTTACAATAGACTTGAGATTTGCGGTAGATAGAAATATGTGATCAAAAATACACATAACTACCTATATTATAAGCATAAACACCTATTTAACTGAAGTTGTTTTTGCTTGACCAAAAATAGAAAAAAATTTTTTTTCTTATAGGATTTCATCAAGTAAATGGATGCTATACAACACTTAAATACCGCAAGTTTAGAAATTCTGCCGTACCTAAACAAACTGTTTATTTTCTGGTAGAAGGAATTAACGTTTGAAAAACTGTGTTTGACTGACAGTCTAGAAGAATAACGTCGACTTGTAAGTGGGAGAAACGTTCAATATTGAGTTAACGAGTGCAAAGGAAAACGACTGAAGATAGAACAGATTCAAAGAACTTGAGAACTTCTAGCTGAAAAAAAAATTCAGAAGTACAGGGCAGACGAGTCGCTGCCTGTGTCAGAATAAAAATTTCAAGTTTGATTTCCAAGTAAGAGTAGTAATTTGTGCGCAAGCTTCAATAAAGAAAATTCTATAACATTGGTTTGATGTAACAAGAAATTCTTAAAACTTTTAAGGGAGCTTTGCGTGGCGTTCTGTTTTTTAACTTATTACGGCCACAATATTTCGTTTAGAAGTTCAAAGAGGTTAGAATAACGCCCATCCCAGTGCCATTCAAATATCAACGTGCCGTTGCGATGGATGAATTGCTGATAGATAACAGATGAGCTGCTAGCTGTAAAATCGTAACATCTTTAGCTGTGCCCATAATATAGAATCTGTAAGACAAGTACTTAAAATTTCGCATAATTATTTGCATTTATCAAACTTCTTGCAAGGCAACTGCCACCAGTATCGAGATATTGAAGAAGATCCATAGAATAATCGTTGGTAGTTAATTTCCACAGTTGCGAAGTTTTTATACCGACTCTTTTTGCGTCAAATTGATAAACACTTTTAAAAATCAAGGATTTCTTATTTTGAACCTAAATTGAAGATGTAATCAAGAAGGGTTTCACGCCAAAACCTTAATTGATCCTGTTCATGGAGGGGAACAATATTGCACTTTTTTAGTACCGCGACGAAATAATGTTAATTGATCACCTATCATGAGGATGGAAAATAACCGTTCAATGTGGCTTAAAGTTGCATATTGGTTTACTATGGGAAAAAGTGAACAAAAGTCATTATGAGGAACTGTATGCTCAGTAATTACTGACAGCACGAAGCTGCGAAACTTATCACTGCTGATGAAAGTAAACTCTTCTAAACGATTACAGATAGCTGATTTTAACAAAGTAAGTGTGTTTCCACTGATTCCTTCACGAATATTAAGTTGAAAAGACAAGTGCTTCAATGAGGTCCAGGTGCTTGAGCGATGTAAAGAAGACGATAAAGCAACAGATGAAAGTGCTTTTTAAAAAATTGAAAAAAATTTTTTTTCTGACCTTGCGTGAAAAATGCGGTAAGAAGTCTAAAAACTGCATAGAGCGGAAAAGGTTCTATAGTGCGAAAGTTCACTGGCGTGTCGGTAACGTTGGGTAGGACTAAAGACAAAATGCAAAGTTTGCTGAACCTCAGAAGCATCCTGTTTTTCAAAGCAACTATGACAGAGAACATTGCTGAACAGGTGAGATTAAAAGCAAATTTTTGCCTATTTCTTGTTCTTTCTTCACTTTTTTTGAGAATTCATTGTCTAAACAAAATTTTAGGCAGGTCTTACATTAATGATAGTTAATTGGACGTACAATACTTTCTGACGAATATTTGTGTCTCCAAGCAACATTTTCAGAAATTTATTTTTTGAATTGATAAGGTATTTTGTTCAAATCACCTTCTCTGAGTCTCAATTGTTTAAGACACTTTAACTGTACTTAGTTTTTTTCTTCTCGAGAAGCAAGAATAGTGTATTTGCCGGCTGAATTTGAAAGAAGTAAAGATAGGAAGAGCAGCAACAATATGTTTTTGACGTTACCAGAAGTTGAAAAGTTGAAAAGTTCTTTCTTTTTTCTATCAAAAATAACAATCTGCTTCTAGTTTCGATTTTTCTTTTACAGACGTCGGATCAGACGTACAAACTTCTCATTCTAATTATCTCTTCTGTTCAATCGGTTACAGAATTTTTAAAAGAAAATATACCGTTACCACAAATGTAAAGTTTATTCTAAATGTTGAAATAAAAATTACAAAGATAAATCTCTTGATTTTAAAAACAAGCTAACTTCTTAATCTGTAGCATAACATAGGTACCTATAATAAATTACCCCCCAAATCAAACAATATCCAAAAAGATCATCCTTATTTGATTAACGAAAGCTTTTGAATAATAAATGTGAGTCACATCATGCTGTAGTACTATAAGATGAGAGAAAAAAAGAATTTATATACTCAAAACTGGAGAACGACTGCGGCGTTGCAAATGCAAAGTTTGACGGCTTCATTTACAAATAATCATCAACACAGTGGTTCTCTCTGCAATAACGGTCGAGCGCCAAACCCCTAAGCAGACAGTGGAAACTAGAAAATTCTTCTAATCTAGTATTGACAACTACTGACCTTTATTCAGATGTTCTCCAAAAATTGAGACAGTGAACAAAAATAGAAGAATAAAATGTCATATTAAAGCAAAAATAACTTCAGCCACTGTAAAGCGAATAGAGATTTAATGTGATTGACAATAGAAAAGAAGCTAAATTTAGAAAAAAAAAAAAAAAACAAATATAAACTACAGTATGATTATTGGACCAAATTAATTAATTCTTTACTACCCTCTGTACCAACAAATTCTTAACAAAAATATGCAAAATCAACAAAAACACTTTTCAGTTGTCATTTGCAATAAGTCCTCCAACAGTCGATCAGATGGGATTTTGCCTTAATACAGCGTACACATCTTATATTGGGCCGACCCATGTCAGTTTCATTAGCACAACTTCAAAAACAAACCAGTCGCTCCTCTGCTGTTTTCCAATAACACACCTAGAAACGAATAGAAATTCTGAGATGGCAGTGCCACCACCAGCATTGAAAGCTAATGTTGCGCGTCTACTGTAGCAGGACAAAAGTTTTTGATATATTTCGAAATTATAAACTTAGTAAAGAAAACCACTTGCATTCCTCTAAGTCGATGTCCCTTAATCTACAACAACCAATTACGGTCAACTTTGCAAAAAAAAATTTTAATGTTTTTAATGTCAGTACAAATACTTTTACTAAAAAATTATGCAAACGCTATCCAAACTTCCTTAAAGCTTGTATGCCTTTAATTGACGATTGACGATAAACTTCCAAAAGACTGATCAATATTCATGCAGTAAAAGAGGGCGTTGGCGCTACTTTACCTTATTTTGTCCACGTCAGATCCTCGCTTCGTTTTCCGCCTAACAAGTTTTTAGATACTTTGAATTTAGATAGCATAATGTTCAAAAGTTCTATACAGTTTTCTCTTTTCAGAAATCTACTCGCCAACGGCTTCCCATGTCCATGCGCTCCAGTTTCAATCCCACTCCTCCTTCACTTAAATGTTCCGCCTTTGTAGCTTCAATTATCTTTAACAGTTTACATTACAGACTGCCTTAAATTTCTCACGTTTCATAGTTCTGCCACCCATTGTTTGCGCCGTTCGCACTTCTTTTGTCAGTTATCGTCAATCGTCAATTAAAGGCATACAAAGGGCATACCGTAGAAATTAAAACAACGACGAAATGAAGGAAGTTTGCCACCATTATCTGCATTACCAATCTAAACCGATCAAAATTTGATAGAGCAGTATGGAGGAACTCTGTGCTGAGTAAAATTTAGGAGGAACTATGACTTTTTTCTCTAAACCACTGCATTCACCAACCGTTTATTATATTTTATTTATCATTATTCATGAGAAATATCGTTGGCTTCTTTTTTTGCAATTTTTACCTTCAATCCTTAGAATCCCTAAGCAAAAATTAATATTAATAGCTTTCATAAAAGTACCATACAAAGGGTTCTAAAATACCAATATGAACCTAGCAAACCATCAAACAACGCACCAGTAAAAAAAAAAATAAACACTAGACTGTAATCAAACGTCAATCAGTTATTTTCATTTTACTGTTTCTCTAACACAGAACTAATGTCGGATGAAGTCGTTATGGTTTTTCAAAAAAACTTTTTCTTTGCTCCTTATGACTGAACGTAGATACAACTCCCTCAACCGGTAACCATTCTGAAAAATAGATTTTTTGATGCGGTTCTAGAGTCTCATCAGATTACCAATTTCTGGTCTTGAGTCGATTAACAAATGTCAATCATGGCACCAAGCTTCGAAAGCGAATTTTCTCTTCCAAAAAATATTTCCCAGCGTTTATGGGCAGCATCCTCAACAACTTTGAAATGAAACATTCACTGAGCAATTTTTTTTTTTTTTGAATAAAACCGCAAAGTGGAAGCCGGACTTCATCTAACGAAAAGTTATGTCCTGCCAAAGTTTTAAAACCAAAGTTGATAAGAACGAGTGCAGGACCGACAGATTAAGACACCATAAAAAACAATAAAATAAGCCTCACAACTTTTCGACGGCAGAGAAAGCCACCTGCCGTCATTCAGGCACAGGCGTCTGCTGTGAAACTGAAGCTTCCACTAGTCAGAAGTGACCTGCCAAACGTAAACCTAATTCAGTTTGATAAGTATGCTAAAAGTGTAAACCCGAACAGCCACGTCCAAAGAGCCTAATTAACGGAAAGTACCTAACTTATGTTAGAACTGAACGCAGAAGGCGTCAGAAGGAAAAATATTCGCGAACTGCTCAAATGGAAAAAAATTCATTTGCCAATCATCTAACAATTACCTTGCGCTCTTAAAGAAAATGTATTTCCCTATATTCAGGGTTTTTTAAATTTGTACAATCCTATCGGCCTAAAAACTGAATTCAGTAATTCTTTCAAGTCCCAATTACTTCATAACAAATGCCGCCCAGTTTTTGACTGTTACTCCTTGTAATAAATTTTCCGGATAGGACACAGCAGCCATGTTGTCCGTCTCCCCTCAACCAAATGAATAGTTTTAGTCGCAGCAAGATATAATCCATTATTCCAAACTTAATCATATGGTTCTTTACAGCGCCGAAGTATCGACTTACAGGCTTCAAAGCAGACTACATTTTCACTCAGAGCAAATCAACCTCGGCAGACACGATGAAGAGCATTCGGAAGTGATATCAAAAAGTGGATGCGTTACTGGAAGTTTTCTATAAATTTTTTTTTTAAAATCACTTTTCAAGAGTCGCAATCCGGAAGCACAATAAAGAAAGAATATACAAATAAATGCTAGCGGAGAAGGTGAAAAGTTTTAATGTTATGAGAGATACACACAAAAAATAATAATTATGAAAAAGTTTTCGAATGTGCAGTACACAAATGCGGTGATTACAAAACTAAACACTGAAAAAACAAAAAAAAAAACAAAGCTCATTATCAATGTAAGAACTTACGCCCTTAAGAATCACACCATGATCCCGTCATGGCATTTCGCCGACTTTAATACACTATAACCAATAAGCCTCAAAATAACTACGCACTACGATTTAAGCCGTAGGCACTGACAGATGGATAGAGGTTAACTTGATTGAACCAAATCATGCAATTAAAATACCGGAATTTCTAGACGAAAAGTGATCAAAACATTGGTGAAGCTCCAGGAAAAAATTAGATATAATTAATTCACTCGAAATGACATGGACTATCGCACCTCCCTCAATCAGCCATCATTTGAAATTTCAAGAACCTCAGCAGAGACTCCTGTTGTCTGTGAAATACATACTACAGCATCTAAGAATGAAAGAAGTAGGAACATCGCACAAATGACAACCTATAACAAAGTAAAAGCTTAAACAGTTAGGATGACATTACAAAAAAAAAGAAATTAAAAATGACCAAAACACATTTACCTGCAACGTACTAACATTATAGCAAAAGGAAGCGTTAAATTACATTTCCGACAACCATATTAAAACAAGTAACGAATGTAAAATCATGCTTAAAAATATTGATAATAAGAAAATATGAACAGATTTTGCCAAAATAATGGTTGTTGGTAAAAATATATTAAAGTTCCAGTTCATCACTAGCACATTTAAAGAACAGGATAAAATACTACTAAAAATTGTATCGATATTTAGCACTTCTGCAAAACGTAAATCATACACAGCAAATAGCAAACTTATTAACACTAGTTACCAGTATTGCTGGAAAGAATAGTTGGAAACCTTAATTAATTGAATTTAAAAACAAATTACCAAAAGCAAAAGAGCTTCAAGAATCACTTAACTTCAAACTGAATGGGAGTTTGAGGAATAATTCGTGAGTTATCAAGCCAGTTCTGTATTTGAGCTTTGGCAATAGCACGTGCAGGTTCCGGAAGGGCACGCATATCTGAGCACACACTTATTGCAAAAGCTCTATCTCCATCGGTTACACTCAAATCGTGTTGAATCAAATCGGCGGTTTGTACATGCCCTAAAAACAATTTATGAGCCCCATGTCTAATTCCTAGGCGCTTTCACACTGAATGAAAAAAAAAAACACAAGACTTCACAGCAGCCTAGACAGGAAAGAACCACTTCGGCATTAACAAAAAATACCTTGATGAGGATGTGATAGAGTTTTAATGTGATGTTGTGGTTCCGTTTGTATAACCATGGCGGTATAAGGTGAATGAAGCTGTGTATTTGAATGTTGTGGACTATCTTGATGATCATGCGAGTCATTAACCATATCATCTAGATAACAATCGTCCGAAAGTTCCTCACTATCCCTTTTTCGTTTAACGTGTCTATAAGTCCTAAATTGCTTCTTTTGACAAGAGCCTTTGACAGTCAGAAAAATTGTCACGATCGAAACCTACCCGCTCTCTTTCAAAAATTTAAAAAGCAAAATAAAAAAACATAAACGAAGAGTTAAACAAAAATAACTGAGAAAAAAATGAAATAAACTTCTTATTATTATGATGTTTCACAGAGATCACAGCTTTATAGGCATATAAAACTCCAAAAACATGTAACTTTTTTTTTCACGATAAGCAGGCTTTCCCACTAATTTTTCTTGACTGTTACCTTCAATAACTTACTAAAAATTAAAACTCTTACGTTGCTCTGTCATCAAGGAAGGGATCTATCCACATCATCTGAGGGAATAAATCCCACTGTGATTCATCTGTTTCACCACTTACATTGGACATTCTCATCTTACGCTTTTCTCTGACATAACGATCACGTACCTTTTTCCACTGCTTATAAATTGCGTTGATGTCTCCTGAATAATGATACTGAGTCATCCACACACATAATTAAGAATTAAGAGCAAAAAAAAATGGTATACCCGTCCACACTACATACGACTAACAAAACTAAGTCCTGACCTGGAAAATTTAAATGTTTGATGATCTCCGCCCAAGCTTGATTACGGCACTCTGAGTGGCGGTATTTCGGGTCCCTTATATCATACAGGCATGGGTGCTGCTGAACCACTTGAATAAGATTCGACGAAAAATTGGGATCAGTAATTACGATATTATGCGGAGTCTAAAAATTACCTTCTCTTGCATACACCACATGCAAAAAAGACAAAAAATACATGATTTTTCAAAAGCCTTAATTAACCGACTGATGACACAAACACTAAACAGTCTCTCACACAAATAAAAATTCACTGCAAATAAAACTGTCATTGAGAAAAATAAAATAAGGCAGTCAACTAGTAAAAATAAAAAAAATTAAATTAAACAAATTTCAAGAAACTTATGCTCTTGCCATACTTTGCCATCTTTAGCACGTGCAAACTGCTGTTGCTGTCGATCAATCATATGAGGATCCAAGAAAGTTAAATGTTTAAAATATTGCCACCCAGTCTGATCACTGCTATATTTCATTTTTTTCTTTTCTTTTCCATATTTGTCTCGAAGTTGTTTCCATCGATTGTACAGTGTTCGAGCATCACCTAAGTGGATAACTTAATCTACTTTCAACACATCTCCAGCGTACACCATGTTCATGTAGTTGAAAACTCTTCAAATATCATGTATTATGGAAAACCAAAATGGGTTTTCTCCTAAACCTCAATTATCCTAATTACGCCAAGTAAATTACCATCAAAATTCAATCTCTGCACCAAATGATTCCAAACTTTGATCTTATGTTCCGCGCTTCGATATTGGCGATCTTTCGCATCGTATAAACATCTCGAGTTACGAACTGCTTCGATAAGACGAAGATTAAAAGAAGACGGCTCCGGCTCATCCATTGGATTCGTGATGCTACAAGGAAGAAACTATATCTTCTGAAGCATGAAAAGAAATTTTTCCTTATAGTCTCAGTGGCATTAAGCTGTGAAGTTCTCGAAATCAATAGCGCTTATTATTTATTTCAAAAAAAACTAATCTAAAGAGACTTTTTTTTTTCTTGAAAAAAAACTTACTAAGAAATGCCAGAATCGGTTTCTTGGTGAAAGATAGGTGAGGGTGATTGAGCCCCTTCCATAAAAGAATTTCATACGGCCACCTCGTGCCGCTTTAACGAAAAAAGTTCGCTTTTAAAAATAACTAAAAATAAGTTTGCACAATTACTGGAGAATAATAAAACAGATATTTCAAGAACAGGTGAAACTAGCCAACAATTATTTTAGAAATAAAAAGGAATCTTTAAAAGAACGTTCAATGAAACGATCGAGACGAAAAAATAAAAAAAAAAAGGAAAGTAAATTTTAGAGAGAAATCAACACTACCCACGTTTCAACTAAGAAAAAGGACTTCCAAGGAAAAAACGACGTCAATAAACTACATAAGCCAATCTTTTACAGAAAACATATGATCATAATTCAGAAACTTTCCAGCTTTTCTTACAATTATTTGAGCATATCCTCAGGAAATCACCGATTGATATACTATAAATTTCTGTCGACCAAAATAAAATCTCCTTCAAAAATGGTTATAAAAATAATAGCCAGCTAAAAATGACCACAGGCAGAAATGTCAATAAGTTACCGCCATTGCTTACCTCTAAAAAAACTCAGAACAAAGAAACGAGAAAAAACATTGATCATGAGTAGTATTGACTCTCAGAAAGCGTACGAATAGCAAATATTCATCCTCCTAAACTGCTTGAATTAGCCACTAAAAATTAAACTTCTAGAAGCAAAAAAAA